GAGAGAGAGAGAGAGAGAGAGAGAGAGAGAGAGAGAGAGAGAGAGAGAGAGAGAGAGAGAGAGAGAGAGAGAGAGCAACACAGAGGGAGTGATGGAAGGAGGAAGGGTGGGTCGTTCTTTCAGAAAGAAACAACAAAAGGCAGCAGGGGATTGTGGGCTGTTTTCTCAAGGCTGAGGTGCTGTACGTATTGTAGTGACTTTTATGCTTTCCTCTTACTTAAAAGCTTTCACTATGGGCTATTTACATCTGGAACAAAGGAACAAGAGCAACGAGAGAGGTTAATTCATCAAAGCAGAAAGGGAAGACATGACTGAGGGACAATTTCATCTGGACAGTTACATAACTTTAAAATAGATTTGGAAGCGAGTCAAACATTAAGAAACCATAGCTAATGGCGATGCAATGGTTGTCTTTACTGATGAATGAAACACAGTAAGCAGACTGAATGTGACGCCAGGTCCAGGGAGAACATCTATAATGGATGTGGGACTAATAGCCTCCTGCAGAGAAAGACTGGATGTGAAGTGAGGGAGACAGGGACACACTAATCCTGAGACACTGTTGGCATGAGGTGGCAGAAGGAAAGGATGGATGGAGAGAATATTTGGAGATCATTTTAAAGAGATTTAAGTGCATCAAACTGAATGACAGGGAGTCGCCAAGAGGACATTGGGGGGTATTCCTGTGTTATTTTGTTACATTTTTGCGTTACCATCAAAGGTTTTGCAGAATTGTCAAATCAGAATAATCCTTGTGACGACTGTGTCCTCTTGTACTGAGTATTCTTTTTAAATGTTGCTTATTGTTGTGACAGTCATGCCTTTTGGCAAGTCCAGACTAATATTCTTATGTTTCAGATTTATTTCAAAACAAAACTCCATGAACATCTGTAGTGTTTTTTTTCCACTGTTGGTGTTGTCTGGTTTGTCAACTATCCACAAAGTATTGCAAGGGAGTGTAAAACACGTAAATTGTATGGTAACACAATAGAAAAATATTGGCATCTTGGTTTTAGTGTATTAACAGGTGTTTTACCATTTTAAACCCAGAAAAACTTTTTCATCATACCATTTGGGCAGCTTAATTCCTTTTAATGAAAAAGTGCAGGATTTTCTCCATCATGTGTAGCTAAAGGTAGCGCTGTCAGTCAGCTGTGTATGGCAAAAACCTGGTTCCCGACAGCAAAATAAACCTAATTCTAGTTTGACTATAAGGGTGTATTTACACCAGGAAAGTGCTTTGGTCCACTTGTTAGGTCCGGACCAAAAGCAGAATTTTTTTTTCCTTTGGCGTGGTTTGCATTCACATTGTAAGTGGACTATAATTTATAAACAAAGCCACGCAGGTGCTGATCATTGTGCCCATTGAACGGAAGTGATGGGGCAGGACAGAGTACAGACCTGGAAAAAAAGATGGTGTTGTTAATACGACTAGCATTTAGAACATCAAGAGCAGCTCACTTAATGGCAGTTTCACAATTATGTATTTCTAATTTTGGGCCGGCGTTGGCAAATGCATGCTGCAACCCAAAGGAGAGGAGATGCTCTGTGTGCCCTGAGCCACAACGGCTCGTTGTTTGTAGCGCAGTGTTAGGGTTAGCAACATTGAAAGGCTAATTGTTACCATGATGCTTGGCAATGGTTGCTCGTGATGCCCAAAAAGGCATGTTTCCTGTAGTTAGTTTGGTTCAAGGCCACACCAGAGTTTGCAAAGGGTAGAATGACTTTTGTAATACAGTACGCAATCTAAGCTGACTAAATATTTTTATGTATAAAATGTATAAGAAGTGGATAAAGCTCAAAAGAAAAGTTAAATCTGCTACCACTGGCTTATTTGGGTCACCATGGTAATCACAAACTTGTGCCTCTCACTCCCTGACAGCACTCTTAATAAGACAGTTAGACACAAACACTGGGGGGGGAAACAGATCTGAAACAAATTATCATCGTGCAAAACCAAAGATGTGTTCAAAAGGTTTCAGAACTGTAAATAAAAAAAATTAACTTCTTATGTGTCTACAGTGTTTTATGTTATGATAAATTAAAAGAAAAATTTAAATTTCTAGTTAGAAAAAATTCAAATTTTAACAGATCAAAAGTAAATAGTGTGTAACCACCTCACATTCCAAGTTAAACATTATGTGGTCAAATCTTCACAAACAATAAGTTTAAAGGTGTGTAAAATTATTAAATACATCAAAATGTCAGTTTGATTTGGTTTTACTGTGAAGTGGGACTGAGCTGTAGTGCTCCAAAGAGGGCTGGGTTTTCTCATTAGTTTTGTCAAAATCTTATAAATGGACATTTTTTTAAAGATATTTTACTTTTTGTAAAGTTTCTATGCTATTTGGTGTATTGCACAACACAAAATTCCTGATCAAGATGCATGTTTTGTTGGAGATTTTGTATTGGTTTGTTATGTGAGAAGAGTAGTGATTGAAACGAAAGAATAATGACTGATTCGTAATAAGTGTGCTTCAGTTCTAATGCATCGACACCCTTTAATAAGTAAGTAAAGTAGAGGGGAGTGTTAGATAAATAACTTTCAGCACCATGGACAGAATCCTCAGCTGTCAGCTGGTCCTGATCAGAGTCTGACACACTCCAGCTGCTCTTCAGGAGGCCTCCTCATCTTCCTATTTCACACATGAACTGCACCCTCCACAAACCCCACTCAAGTGTTCTCACAGCTTCCAAACAGAACGAACAAATCAGGACAGCCTGCCAACCTGATGTATGATCAGGAGAAGAAACCTTGCTGATAACTGACTGACAGATGCTTGTTTTTTTTTATTCACAAAAAGAGGAGCGCTTCTCCCAGGATAAAGAGAAAACCTGTGTGATCAGAGATAGAGGGAAATGAGGAAGAAAAAAAAGTAACACTCACCTGCTGTTTTTACGAGGCAACGGCAAATCCTTTGGACAGAAACAAAACAGAGGAAGAAAGAAAAAGAGATCAGGTTCAAGAATACACATGTTCCATATAAACTCTAATCTGTGTGTCCCTTTAACTAAACCTTAACTGATTCATCAAATGTGCCAAACTGGATTTATAAAAAGGTCAAGCTGGACAAGAACTACAACACCCAGGATGCATCGTTGCAAAAACAAAAACCAGTCAGGATCTGTCAGATTCTTCTTAATAAAAATGTTTACATTGACACAACCGTAAGAATCTGCATTTCTGATTGAATCTTTTTCAAAAGCAGTTGAGGTTATTTACCTTTTTATTGATGACTTACCTGATTTGATTTAAATAAACAAAACTGGCAAGTTTTTTATCTTATCTTATCTTATCTTATCTTATCTTATCTTATCTTTTCCAAAGTTTTGTTGTGTATCTGGATCTGGATCAAAAGAAAGTTTTAAGCTACTAAGGCATGTCCCCAAGGTTTACATAACTGAGACAAACCCCTTTTCCCAAGGAAGACTGAATTCTCAACTCATTGATTCATCGATCAGACTTGTTGGTCCCCAGAAGTCAGAGCCCAAGCACAAGAGAGACAGAGAGAGGCATCAAATAAGTAGTTCAGCCATTTTGATGTGGGTTTCTTTGTAAATCTGAAAAAGAATTGGTAACTTACAGATAGCCTCGTAAATGAAGCAAACAGAAGTAGTCTGAACACAGCTACAAACAAGCAGCAGCAACATGAAGCACCTCTGTGCCATTCAAGGGTCAAGTTCAGCAAGATTTTCATGTCTCTTCTTAAAGATCCATTCAGTGCAATAGTAGGGTTTCCAAAAACTGAAATTTAATACAAAGTTTCAAAAAATTTAGCTGACAAACAGAAATTTAGTCTGAAAGTAGGTTCATTCAGACCAACTATTTCGAGCTTTTTTGGCATTTAGCTGTTTTTCTTACTTTATTTTAGTATTTCTAGCATAGTTTTTTTTAATCAAATACAATTGGGCCCACTTCTAAAGCAGATTGCTGCCACATTAAAACAACTTCATGAATTCACATCAATTCATGCAAAACTATTACTTAAGCTTTTACATCCAATCATATTCTGGATTACAGACACCACCATTTGGCAGAGTTAATCTGAAATTCCTGCCAGGTGATTCCTCAACAACTAACTGGAGTTTGTGATGCTGTTTATTATTTTAAATAACCAGAGAATCTTGTGTAAACAACCGTTTGACAGCATTAATTATTTTGAAATTTTGGAAACTGGAAGTGTTATTAGATGGCAGCAATCCACTGTAGTCTCCTTTGTGTTCAGACCAGCCGTTTGCTCATCAGTTCTGTCAAATTTAAACCATTTCTTCAAACTTGGGCTTTTCAACAAGCTACCTAAAACAAGTGAGATATTAATAAATTTTATAGTAAAAATAACTCAGTGTCCATTCTATTTATTAAAAAATGTTTAGACTCCATGGCTCAGATGAGGTTTTAGGACCACCATTTTATTTCCACAGACCATTCAGATGAAGAATCTTCACATTACCTGTGAAGCAATATTTCAGCAACTACTGGATGATGCATGTACTGTATAATGTAATTAGAGTATAATGCAACCGCCCAGTCTTTGAGCTTAAAACGCAGAAAAAAATCTAATCCTCGTGTTTAATGCTACCCTTAAATCCAAACAGATTGCAGGATTTTTCAGTCTTTGTGGTGTACCTTCTGGTGGGGAAACAGATTGTTTTGGGGACACACTTGTGGACATGTTTGTGGCTGCAGAGGAGCAGCGCAAGCTTCAACATGCCGCTGAGAACGGTCTTCTCCCAGAGCAGAAGCCATTTGTTAAATTAGCAAGCTGGGCAGCTTTGAAGAGCAGCTTGTTTGGTCCTATTAATGTCAGGTTTAACTGGTGAATGAACCCAGGAGTAGGCAGACACGGGAAGCTCAGAAAAATAAAGACATGTATTAAATAAAACAAAAAGCTGACATGGCAGCAAACTTACAAAAACTCAGGAGATGCAGGAAGACACAGGGAGACCGAGACAGAAGGGCTAAGCAATGCAATGATCCACCAGAGAAGTGGTGACAGATGAATGTTTAAATAGACACTGAGGGAGAAGGAAGATGAGCAACACATGGATGAAGACTGATTAAAAATAATGAACAGGTGAGTGACTGACTGGAGCTGACTGAGGAAAAGATGAATGATAAAGAGCACAAGATGGGGACAGCACAAGAAACAAAGTATAAAAAACACAGAGATAATCTAAATAACAAAGTACTATAGAATATAAGCAAACCAAAACACGTTGACTATGACAATTACGAATTTAAATGTGACTGATGTCCACGTCTTCTTTTCATCTCTGCAGTTAATAAGGAAAAGGTTTTTCCTCTTACTTTTTTTCCACGACACGATATTTTAGTTATACACAAAAAAAGTTTAATTTATTGTAGTAGATTGATAAAAGAAATTGTCAAAGTCTACTCCCATGTATAATGTGACCCCCAACGTTATGYATGATTTTTGGATTTTTTTTGCAATATGCATGCATAAGGTACCTCAGGAAGCATTTCCTCTAGAGCAGAGGTGCCCAAAGTGGGGCCAGCGGGCCAAAGTTGGTGCGCCAGGCCACTTGATTTGGCCCACCAGCAGTTGTCCTGGTTATAAGATTGTAATCTCCTATCATGTAGAAACACTGTATTTTCACTTAGTCTTTTCAAACATTGGTCCAACTATAGGTACAAGGAGTTGACATCAGATAGTCTTAACTCATGGTACTCATTTTATCTTTGAATTATGTTAAGAATAAATATAAAATACAGTAACTACAAGAGACATTTAGATTAGATTTAAGCCCATATCTAGATTTGTACACCTTATAAGACCCCATATACTCAAATTTTAAATTATGAAAAGTCCCATGCGCCTTTGTATGGAAGCAAAAATGTAACAATATTTTAATTAAAATGGATTAATAGAAATGCTGTTTCATTTTCAACATGTATCTGAATTTTATGACTCATAAGTAAAATTATAAATTAATAATCCAAACTGTATGTTCATTTTCTTCTCCAAGACTGCTCAAAGTGTAAATTAATTAAAAACTTAAATAAAGCAAACAACGACATAATTTTCAAAACATGTCCTGGTAAAAAGTGACCAAAATTCATTTTGAAAAGTCAAATCGGAAAATTATAGTGCATTAGCAGAAATGCTTTTTCATTTCAAAGTCAAACCTGCATTTGTTCACACATAAATAAAATTAGAAATCAATCATCCAAACTTTGCTTCCATTTTCATCTTCAAGACTGCTCAAAGTGTAAATCAATTAAAATGTTCAATAAAACAAACTTTGACATTTGACAGTGCCCAGAGAAAACACTCATACATAGAGAGAACATGAAAACTCTACCCAGATGGGTCTCTGGGCCGACATTTGATCTGGCAACCTTCTTGCAGAGAGGCAACAGCACTACCATCTGACCCACCATGTGGCCCTTGTGGCTTAAATATATTTTGGAATGATTGTTGTGCCATACAGTAGTACCAACTTGAATAGACCTTTTACCAATTGACGTTATCACTCATGCGCACACACATTTTTAGCACCTCAGCCGGAAGCCGGGGGGAAGCCGCCAATCGAGTTGAGTGTTTACATTACTTCCAACGATAGCGATGGGGAAAAGGGATTTTTGTAGTGTGTTTAATTGCTCGAGGCAATGTGACCGAGTAAAAGACAGCAGAGAACCTTGTTCTTTTTACCGAATTCCTCTAGGAAAATTGAGCAAAGCTACTAAAAGAAGAAAGCTGTGGCTCAATGCGCTTCGCTGCCAGGACTTCACTCCGATGAAAAACAGTAAAGTGTGTAATCGGCGTTTTTTTTTTGTTTTTTTTCTGGCATGGCAGTTAATTATCCGAACTCTGTGGATAACATTCCTACATTACAACTTGGTTATGCGAAACAGACAAAAGAGAGAACCTCCCGCAGCAAAACAGCATGCTACTGGACAGATGAGAAGCTAGCCAGTGCAACAAGTCAGAACGAAAAACAAGAACTGTTAGGCCTCACAGTACCAAAGGCCACTGCATTTATTGAAGTTTCAACCTGCCACATTGCTAGGAGATTCTTCTTGCAACCAACCAGAAGAAATAACGTGAGTTAAATGTCATCAAACACATGCAGCTCTGTCAAAATAAAGAGACCACAGCACAGTTATCCTGTATTTGGTGAGAATAAATTCCACCAAAATGATTTCTGAATACTTCCTGAGTTAAAACAGTATTGTTGTTTCTAAAATAATATGAAGTTGTTTGCTTGCATAATTTGAGGTTTGACAGCACATCATCTTTATCATTTTGGCCATTTCTCTTTTTCTGAAAGTAAATACTACTTTTTTGCTTTTGATTTGTGAGACATGCTGTAAGTGCATAGAATAAAAGGAAAATGTTAATTTCACTCCAACATATATCTATAGAGTAAAATCAGATAGAATTATAGTTTTACAGTTGTCTATTTTTCCTGTGTGTGTGTGTGTGTGTGTGTGTGTGTGTGTGTGTGTGTG